AATTCTGGGAGTTGAAGTCCACAAGTCTTAAAGTTGCCAAGGTTGGACACCCCTGGTCTATGCCATACCACTCCAAAATGGAATAGTACAGAAATCTTAGTAATAGAATTTTACCAGTAAATTACTCAGGATCTCATCTTTAATTTAATATGTGTTTTTTGTACCTTTGTCACTAGAAACTTTCCAAAATGCTACATTCCCACTTCAAAATCTTAACGCTGGGCTCATGTTCAATTCTGCACTTTGGCAAACAGCTCATTCCACATTCTTCTATGTGATTTTCCTGCCCGCATTTTACTTTAATCATAAGAGTATTTTATTTTCACAGATTGGGGATGAAATCCTGGAGATTAATGGAGAAACCACAAAGAACATGAAGCACGCTCGAGCCATAGAACTAATTAAAAACGGTGGCCGCAAAGTTCGCCTGTTTCTCAAACGTGGAGATGGCTCTGTACCGGAATATGGTGGGTCAAACTATGAAAACATTCCTTATCTTGCTCCGGGCATCACACCATGAATGATCTCCAAGATCTGAAGCGGGGATTCTTCTTTTTTCCTTTTCTTTCTTTTTCTCTTTTTCCACCAATGTCTTACCAACCTTGACAACCGTGGTTAATTGCCTCGCTTGTGCTGAATTTTCTCTACACTTTTTCATCCTTTGCTTGCTACTATGGACTTTTGTGGGGGCACAGTGTACAGGCAAGACCATCTTCAGAGCAGTATTTTGGTGATCCAAGGGGGCAAAAACATATAGACAAACCAAAACTGTACTATCCTGTCCGACCAAACAAGGAATGTTTCTTGAACTGTGCCAAACTCTTTCTCAGCGGATGAATGGTTCTCTCGTCTTCTGATCAATGCAGAGTTGGGAAATTTGTGTTATCCTTTGGAAACTGTTGTCCTTGGCTTTTGTCTGTAACCATAGGCATGAATTCCACGATGGTGTCTGGGCTTTTACTGTCCCCGTACATTTATGTAAATATTTATAAATTTATTTTTAAAAACGTATGCAATACAAGAATATATTCACTTGGATTCCCCTCCTGCCCTTTTCCTTTAGATTGTTTGTTCACAACTGTGTCAGCTATGAACAAATTAATATTGCCATTCTCAATGTTTATTCTAAGAGAAGAGATGTTGTTTTATTTGGTTGCCGAGGGATATATCTGCATTAAAAAAAAAATCCCACTTGTATTTAAGTTCTGTAGTATTGGTTTTGGGTGGCTTAGTACTGTATTATGATGTCCTATTTATTTGAGATAGCTATTCAGATATATGCCCTAGATGTAGGGCTTTTCCCAAATATAATTGGTTTCCAACCAGTTATGAATTATAAGCACACAAATGAACAGGTGTCCTTTATGTTTCCCCATATTTGGGATAATATACCAATAAATTATATTTCTTTTTATTCCTAGTGTGGAGCAGTATCAAAGTCCCAACTATTGTACTTTTCTACTTTTGTTCTCCAGAGATGGGAGAAGTGGCAAAACAACACGTGGGTGGGATCTTTCAAAGGTTATAATTGTATCCCCACAAATTACCAAAAAGAGAAAAAAAATTCTTTATTTTTTCACTCCATTATATTAGCACCAGGTTGAACTGGTCTTATAAATGAATCGGTGAATATCTATATACCAATTCAGTTTGTCTTGAGAAAGATGGACTTGTCCTCATTGATAAAGGCCCAGTTATATTCCTTGTAAAGCTGCATAATCTGAAAAAAGGTGGCTTATATTCATTTTAATAAGTGGGGTTTTTTTAGAAAAAAAAATAAAAGAATGGGAGATTATATATAAGGTGTCAGCAAGAGTGACCTCTAAGAAGTGGAAAAAAAACTTACGCAGTCATTTAGGGCAGAGGTGGGGAACAATGGCCCTTCTATGACTTGTGGACTTCAACTCTCAGAATTTTTGAGCCAGCATGACTTACTCGGGAATTCTGGGATTGGAAGTCCACAAGTCATAAAAGGGCCATAGTTCCCCATCCCTGGATTTAGGGCAAAGTATTTTGGCATGCTTTCAGATGAGAACATTGCCCTTAAAGTTCTTCTGGCGTTGCCTCTAATGCCAGTTTCTTAAAAGGATTCAGTTAGTATGCCTCACATAGACTTGTCCTTTTTTATTATTATTATTATTATTATTATTATTTAGAACATCCTGAAAACTTCACACAGTCAGACGACTTAGTAGTTTAGCCAACTCACTCTACCATTTTAATCCATGTCATGATTAAAATTCCTGTGTTTGCACTTCTGTTGTACACTTAATTGGCCATGTTTCCGCAGGACTAAAACTGTGTAATGTTCTTTATGTTCTGTCTTTTTCCTATGCTCTTTTGGCTGTAAAGTATTGTACCATATGCTAAACATTGCAAATATAGCCTATCAAAAAGTGTTTCACATCTTCCAGAATGTCTGTTGCCCTGAGGAATGAAAAACTTAACATTAGGGTTTGGGGGCAAGGTAGCTTCTTTTTGTCTCTTTGTTAGTTTGTTCTCTCTCTCTCTCTCTCTCTCTCTCTCTCTCTCTCTCTCTCTCTCTAACAGTCTGGGCTGCGAGTCGCTTTTGAAATCCCCTAAGCAATTCCATTTTCAAATCATGGGCTGCACAGTGGCTATTTTACAGTTGCTTGCAACTTTGGGGGGTGAATTGCTTCATTCCTGTCCGTTGCAGTCACTAACAAATTGCTCCAAAAAAAAAAAAAAGAAGAAGAAGAAGAAGAAGAATGAGGTTCCAGTATTTTTTTCTGACTCAATTGGAACATGCTTCTCTGAGGAGGCTGTATATTTTTGTAATGAGTTTTGTACTTCTCTTCAATGTCATAGTCTGTAGTGGGTTTCTTTTGGTCGTTGTTGATTGTTAATTGTTTTATCGCTGACATTCTGTTTCACTGTCCCAATTATGTCTCTCTTCTCTCCTTTGCACTCTCCCACTCCAAACTGAGACTTTGGTTGTCTGGGTTGTTTAGTCACCTTTTTTTCCAATGTTTTAAAGTACACTGTCTCGCTTTAACAATTGCTGTTTCTGCAGCCTTATATTTGGATGATGCCTAGACAATCCTGACTGGGAAAAAAAATAAACTTTTCTTTATTCTAATATTTTTTTTAAACAAATGAAGATTTTTTTCCCCCTTACCTCCTTATTATAGGGAATCTAAACATTCTACCTTTTTTCTTTCTCTTTCTCCTACTTTTCTTGGTGCCGGGGCTCTTCCTTCCTCAGCGATGATACCTCCTAATCTCACTGCATGCATGAGAAATGACAAGCTCGGGGAATCTTGCTTCTACCTTATGGGCCATAATCAAACTACGGTTTGTAGCTAAAATCAATACTAGGTGTTTCTGTGCTGTGGCCTAATTCTCTCACCTTGCTTTCCACTTTGCTAAACTTCTGCATATACGGCAATTCATTCTGAGCATCCTGCAGAATTGTAAGTACCCCCCCCATACCCTGTGGCCTTCTACAAGAGACCACAAGATGCCAAATTGACTTGGCCTCATTTGAAGATGGAACAGTGGTCCTTCATTTCTGAAGTCTTATGGTGTAAGCAATCCATGGTTTCCTCTCAGAAATCATCCAAAGCCTGCAGAAAAGCTAAGCTCACTATGCCTGTCCAGAAGAGAGCTTGCATCAGGGAATTTTATTTCATATTCAGGAGAAAAGAGAGAGGAATTTGGGATTCCAAGGAATGTTGTGATTACTTATTATCGTGTTAATGTTCTCAAACATCTATTGGGCACATAATCATTTGGCTTAGAATCCAGGAAGTGGTATCACACAAAATATTTAGGAGGTTTTTCCCCCAAAGTAATAAACAATTACAGTACCAACCTCAAAACAATTGAATTGCCATTTTTAAAGCAATTCATTATCAAGTATTGCAAAGTACATGTACAAAGGTTGCTCCTGTGAGATGATTTGCTGCTTCTGCTTACAAGCATCTGTGTTTACTGCAACAGGATAAATGTAAATATTTTACCCGATATTAATGCAGATCTAAAAGACTGTTGCATTGATAAGATCGGATCATGTCTTCCCATACCCTGCTGCTCTCATTGTGTGTGTTTAAGTTCAATCGTTGTGGCAAAACCAAAATTGTCCTCAATGCTTGCACGTGTTATATATGAAAGTGGGGCTAAGTTGTGTGTTCATTGAGTGTATTTAAAACAGACAATCAGTCTTCTGATGTCTGATGATTCTGGGTGGCTTACAACTGAAAGTGTAAGGTACAAAAAGAAAAAAAAGAACCATGAATGATACCAAAACAACTGATTACACGACCCACCCCAAAAAGGACCCAGCAGGGGTTCAACTTTTACTCTGTCCCAGAAGCTGGAAGAATAGCTTGTTCTTCCTGAGCATTATCAGAGTGACAGCTGTCCAGAGCTTTGGGGAATCTCATTCCAGAGTTCTAAGAATCAGTTCTGAAATAATTAAAAATACATCTGTCTTCAAAGCTTAGTTACAAGTTACAAGCCATCTTCCAGATGTAGTTTTCTTTTTTTAAAAAAAATGTAAAACATTTTTAAATTATTTGAATCGCTAGTTTTTATCAGTAAATGAAAAGAATAGGAGGCTATGAAGGAGTTCACTACAAAGGCTTTACGTTATATTCTGATTTGGAGCTGGGGAAAAAAAGTTAACTTTCCCATTCCTGATCCTGTAGAGACCAGAATTTAACTAGAGATTTGACATTGCCTTGAGAAGCATCCATACTAATGTAGAGCACTCATCCTTTGTTGTTTTGCTAAAATTAACAAAAGCTTCAGGAAGCATCTTTTTGACTGCTTAACAGTTGCTTGTTTTTTGTTAACTAATGAAGTCTTCAGAATAATGACTGGTATCCAAGTCTTAAATTCAGGCCACCATTGCCAAACATTGTGTTGTTATCTTTTTTTCAGACCCCAGCAGTGACAGGAGCAGCCCAGCCACAGGTTCACAAAAAGTTTTGGAAGTGAAAAATATGCAGTACGACAGACAACACTTACCCTTGGAGCCCAGTTATCCACCAGATCTTCACAAATCACCCCAACATGGAGAAAAGCGGATATATTTTAAGGACCCCCAAAGCAGCAGAGAGCTCGGCAGACAATCAAATGAGCATCACACATGGAATGGAACTTCTAAAAACAGCAATAGCATCCCAATCCGAAAAAAGGATAGGTCACCCGAAAAAAGGCACGAGCGTCCACCAGAGAGAGTGGCCATCAATGGACCAAAACGAAGACCTCCTGAAAAGAGGAGAGAAGGTACAAGAAGTGCTGAAAATACTCTGGAGAGAAGAGACAGGTATGAGAGGAGAAGAGATTTTTCTCCAGAGAAACGAAGAGAACGATCACCAGCTCACCGACGGGAAAACTCACCCAGCAGAAGAAGACGGTCACTCGAAAGACTTATGGATCAGAGGAGATCACCAGATAGGAAGAAGGAGAGCTCACCTCCGGAAAGGAGAGCGAAATCAACGGACAGGAGGAGAGAGCGAACCCCTGAACGAAGAAGGGAGAGGTCTCCCGATAAACGAAACAAGAATGGCAGAGTCAGCTTTTGGGAGAAGGAAGAAGGCACCCTGAGATATGACACAAACAAAAGTAACAGGCACCCTACGGAACAAAGACGGAGACCCTATAAAGAGTGCAGCACTGACCTCAGTATCTAGTGGCTTTTGAAGCCCTACCTACAATACTTTTGCAGCCTTTCCAGCTTTCAGAGTTCCTAGGAAGGAAGGTAGCAAACCTCAAATGCCTCTCGCAGCCACCATACAATTAAAATCTTATCGTCACAACGGATTCACGTGTTTTGCACATGGTGTGGACAATATTAAAGTATATGCATTTCAAATCATATTTGCCAAATGTTCATCCCAAAGTGTGATGAAAAGTTGTGTTCCTTCCTAACACACCGTTGTGAACATTAGATTCATTGTACTTTTCTGTGGCTTAGTTGTTCCATTCTTGGTTTTATGGTGGGCAAGCCAACAGTAGTTAAACATTTGTGATCAACCACACTGTTTTTGTTGATTACTTCATTGCAAACATGAATTTATGATTGTCTAAAGAATGGGTTGGAGGATTGATCAGTAAAACTTTGAACTACTGTGGAGGGATTTTTTCCCTTTACCAATAACAAACATAGTTCTCAAACTAAGATAGCTATTTGAAGAGACTACTGCTGGGATGAAGGATATTTATACAGATCTACACAGCACAAGTGGTTAAGGAATGTATAGTGTGTTCCATTGAACAATAAGTACTTTTGGGTCTCCTTTAAAAGGAAATAAGGTGGCCAAGGATTGGTAGTCATCATGCATGGCATCATGCGTAGGATAAACCATCATGTTTGTTCAATAATTGTGACCATTAATGAAATTTCACAAAGGCAGCGCCACTGTTTGTTCTTGTTCAACCAGTAAAACCATTCAGATGAAATTGGAGCCTGAATAGTATCGCTTGTTTGCCTTGAAAGGGAAGCTGACATGACTTTGATTCCTTATTCAAGAAGCCTTTTAAGGAACAAATGTTTCTTTCATAGGCTGAGTTTAAATGCTTTCAGGCCAGTTTAAGTACTCTTGTTGCCAAATGGAACTGTTTCTTTGGGTTTCTAAGTTTTTTTTTTAATTATTATTATTTTACCTTTTTTCCTTTCCACTTTCTGGTGCACTCTTACTTGAGACAAAAGGAAATATGTTTGCAAAATTGTCAAAAAAAAAAAGTTAAAAATTGTGGTATGGAGTTCTTGAGGGAAAGCTGTGGTTTGAGCTCTGTCACGAGTGGAATAAACCTATTCAGGATTCTTTTCTGTTGGGTGTTTTCATGCAGCAAGTTTGTTCGGTAAATATACTGTAGTACCAATAGCAGAATTAATGGATTACTGCCTAGCTGAGCCAAAAAAAAGAAAAATTGCCGTTACTGTTGGACCACTTTTTAAAACTGCTGCTTTTTATTTTACAGTGCATTGATGTGTACATGTAATACTGTTTCACTGGGTTTTTTCCCCTCCATATGCTCATGCACAGGCACATATACATAAAGAAAATAAGATTGCAAGTCTATCACTGTTATTGCCCTGGTACTGTAAAGAAAAAGGAAAGACAAAGTTGGCTTATCATTGTGTATACAGACTTTAAATTGTAATTAACAGAGCCTGTTGAAAACAAACAAAACGAAACTGTTGCCTTTTTGCTTGTATAAAAGAGACTTTATGAGAATTTAGTTGTGAGGAATGTGCTACGTGTTTATATTTCTGGGGGGGAAATGGAACAAATTGATTCACGGGGATATATTTTAATGTAAACTGAATCAGGTATGTAAAGCTGTTTTAACAGAAGACAATATAAGTAACTTGGAAGATTTTTGTTGATTGGGATATCATATCATGTTTCCACCCTTTTGTGGGGTGGAAAATGACTCTTGGAGGCCTCGGGATGAGGTTTCTGTTCTTCAATTATCATTTCTTACCATGTGGTCTAGTTATAGTGCTGTTTTTCTGTGTTGACGAGAAGCATACATGGGCCAATCTTTTTTATAAAACCCTATGCATATATAAATACGGCATTGTTCATAGCTTTATTTGAAAGATTGGGTTTATACATGACAATAGTCTAAGTAGATGTGGACTTTACTCAATATAAGATTCTTTCCTTGGGACAAAATACAATGTATATGATGTAGCTACAATGAAGGAAAGAGTCTCTGAATGCTATTTTTATTATCAAATAAAGATTTCCATACAAAGCATCCATGTGATTCCAGTGGTACAATTAAGGAAGAAATGCTGTGTATTTGTCTGGATTTTTCTTGCTCTATTTTTGACACCACATTTCACAAAGCAACACAAGCTTTGGGTTTCTGGCCAAATGTTTGTACCTCCTATCATCGTGAATATTTGCAACTCAGGGTTAGGTACGTTATTTAATAATGAATGAAATGTTTGCAAGAAAACAACGAAACTCAGAGAATGCCAAGGATTCCATTATCAATATTGTTTGTGCAGTTTTGGAGCAAATCATGTCACCCAACAGCTGAAGGAGGAAGATTCAAATAGACAAATTAAACACGCAATCTGCCTGCAATCAATTTGGTCCTTTGCATGGCTAGATTAAAAATAAATATCTCCTGGTTAAAGCCTTGAAAAGGGCCTGCTAGTTGGTGAATTAGTAATATTGAGATAGGCTGCTGTGATCCAAGAACAGCCTTTTCTTTGGTTTGTCTTAGAAACCTTCCTTTCTTTGATTTTATATTTCAATTAGTTTTAAACACAGTGGATGTCCCTCCACTGACACCACTGACATCACTGATTTGGAGCAGAGGTGGTATTCAGCAGGTTCTGACCAATTCTGGAGAAGCGGTAGTGAAAATTTTGAGTAGTTTAGAGAACCGGCAAATACCACCTCTGACTGGCCCCGCCCCCATCTCTACCTCCCGAGTCCCAGCTGATTGGCTAGGTCTTCTTTTGTTGCCCTGCACAGGAGAACGGAGCTGGAAAGCAGGTTAGTGGGCTGGGGAAGGAATGGGGATTTTACAGTATTGTTCCCCTGCCACACCCACCAAGCCACACCCAGAACCAGTAATAAAAAATGTTTTAATCCTACCACTGATTTGGAGCCCAGAACATCCTAAAGGAATTCTGTTAACAAAAGAAAAAAGAAAAAAACCTGAATGAGAAAAGACTACATTTAAGACTTTTCAACTGTCTTGAAGCCAAACTGGAGTAGAAGTATAACAATGAAGGCTTGAATAAGTTGTGATGAGAAATATCAGTGGAGCAGCAGAACAATAATTGTTTGATGATTTGCTTATGGATCTGGGAGTTAAATCAATAAGACAGTAGGCTGCTAATTTGCAAAGATAATTAAAAGACGTTCAAACTTAGCCAGGGGTACCTGAGAATTAAAACGATTGATTTTAATTTTACACTGGGGAGAAAGAACAATTCTGTTCTCAGATGTGATGAACAGTCACAATCCAGAGAGGCATTCAAAGTCACTTTGCCTCCTGTTTCTTAATGCTGCTTTATTTTGCAGCCACTCCATTTAAAAATATCAGAGGTGAGAATAAAACGACATTACATTTAAGGATTACAAATCTTGACCTGATAATGTGCAAAAGAGGTTTTGTTGGGTTGTAGCTGTTATTTTAGTGCTAACCACTATCAAAATTGTTCTTTGATTTTAGCAGCTTAATTATCATATGCTACCATGTAATAAGGACATAAAATACCTTAGGACAATATTTATTCTCAGATACTATTTTTTTCATTGATTAAATTGGCAGCATTGGACTATCCCATTTGTCTATAAAGAAATCTGTTGAAATGTTTTAGCTCAGGTCTAGATACTTTACATAAATGTGGAGATTAGCAATGTCTTTTTGCAACGCTGCATTAATTCAGTGACATTACAGCAAACAAACAAAGGCTCAAAGCACAGCAAAACACAAAAGAAAGAAGGAACATAAGGCACTTGTAATTTAAGCAGTATAATCACTGGTGTTGAGTACTTATGTGAGAAGCAAAAAAAAATTGGAGATTAAATAATTCCATCTAACTGAAATAAATATAGTAAATGTGTGGACATTTTAAGATCTCATTTCAATAGCAGCTTATATGAGAAAGAATGTACATGAAGGTTTTTTTTTAAAAAAAACAACTTATTTTTGCTAAATTCAGAAAATATAAATACAATGTAATGACTGGCCAGTAATTTGAGGGAAAATGATGTTTAGAAAGAGAATAGATTGGGTAATGTAAACAAGAAGGAAAATTAAAAGATGATTAAAATACCATACAATAGGAAAAGAAAGATTTTAAGTTTATTGAAGATATTTTTAAATGAAATCTATATATATAAAAGTGAAATACCACTCATGCATCATCACAAAATCTCCAGAACTGTAAAGCCTACAAACTTGAAATTTGGCACATATGCTCCTCTTGGCTTCTAGGTGCTCATTAAGGAAGGATTTTTCGAAATGACCATCAGAACATTAATATTTCAGATATTATTATTATTAACACACTCTGATGCTAAGGAGTTCTACTCTCCCTCCCCACCTGAAAAAAAATATGTTCCAAATGTAAAACACAAGCAGATGAGAGGAGTTTCAGTTTCACTGGAGCAACCAGCTTTAGTACAGAACAGTTGAGCTAAGCTATGCCCAGGCTCCTTGCTGTTTCCTTGCTCACACAGCAAATACTGTTTCAGTTTCCAAATAGCCCTCAACACTCACACACTGACAGGATGCTAGCCAGATGAATATTGATGAATGCTGGTAGACAGAGGCAGATTTTTTTTTCCTTATTTCCCTCCCCAAAAACGAAGCATGACCACATAGTTTCGTAGCAAAGCACAGCTAGTTCATTAATAAGTATTTTTAAATATCTATTAAAATAGATCTATCTGAGGAGAGAACCAATGGCAAAATAGTAGTGGTGGAAAATGTAAGAATTAAGAGCAGGGTGTCTACGTGCTCAGCCAAGTACAAAATCCATACTAATTTTTGAGAAGATTTGCTTTTATTTTCCCCTGCATTCAAACGTTAGCCTTCCTTTTTCCCACAACTGATTAATACTTTTCTGGTCACATTGAGTATTATATATACAAGTTATAGAATCTACAACCATGTTTGTAATCAATCTTATGAAGCCATTTAGACAAAACATAAACAAGCTCTGGTAAAAATGTAGAGAAAAGACAATATTTCTGATTTCTTTAAATAATCACTTCTAAAGTGGCAATGCCTTCCAAAGAGTTCATTGTAGCATTCACTATTTGCAATAAACATATAGTCCTTGACTTACCTTGCTTTATGACTGTCACGACTTATAACAGGTTCCATTATGGTTGTAAGTTGAGGAGTACCTGTAGGCAGTACTGTACAATTTTTTTCACCAATTGAATTGAATTGAATTGAATTATTGGCCAAGTGTGATTGGGCACACAATGAATTTGTCTTGGTACAAATGCTCTCAGTGTACATAAAAGAAAACACTAGTGACTACACATATGACTCTGAGAGTTTAAGAATATCAAGGTGGACTGTATATACTATTCTAATGAGAGTTAAAGCAGACAATGATGATTTGAATAGTATCTGGCCATCTCAGTAGGGTTTGCTAGCCATTAAACCACAGTAGAATTAGTAAATTACTAAACTTCCAAAAACCAAATAACACAGACATCCCATTGTGGGTTGAGGTGTGTTTTACAAACAGATGAAAAGAGTCTGGTAAAGATTATTGTAATATAAACCCTGTTCACTAGATTGTTCAAAAGAAATAGATGCCCCTTGATTCCAGATCTACTTTCCTTAAACTTCCATGATTTTTTTTAGGATGTAGTCCTCATGATTCCACATAGTTTGCTTTAGCAAAACCAATCATAAAGTTTCAAGTAGTAAACTCAACTCTCTGGTGTCGACCGTCAGTTGCATTAATTAAATATCTTTCATGGTAGTATAATAGTTCTAATTTCTACTTGAAAAGGGTCTCTTAAATGGAATGATCTTTAATGTAGCCAATTCTACACTATGAACTATAACATTCTTGATGCATAATGGTAAGATTGTGTAGCATATCTTATAAAAGAGTAAGTACTTGTGTTTTAAGTATTTTCTTTGATGGATATATCTTGTGTTCCTATTTAGCCCAATTTAGCTCAACATATCTACAGTATAGACTCCCTGCTTCTGAAGTGTTAGAACATAATTGAACTCAGGAGAAAACTCAGTGTAATTCATATTGTTACTCCTGATCTTTAAACTATACATTACTTAGACTTCCTTCTTCTTTCTGAAGAATAGGCTACTTTGATCCCATACAGTCCCATACAAATAGAGCCTGTAATTCAAAGAATTATCCATAAAAGCTGGATCTATTGTATTGAAAAGAGAGAGAAGAAAAGAGAGGCAGAAAATGTCTACCAGAAAAAAATATTGTCCTTCAAGTTTGTCTTCTTGTTATTGGTAAATACATTTCTTCGGTTGAAGCAGCACTTACATTTAATATATATCTGGGGCGGGAGGTGGGGAAAGGAAGATTCAATATTAGGTCTTTGAATCAGCTAATATTTCAATTTGTTGATTTGAATGGTTGAATCACATTAGTCTGAATAATCCATTTGAATTGATGACAGGATAATGGATTCATGCTACAGGAAAGCAAGTTCAATTCAAGGTATTTTTTCCCCTAACAACAAAAGCAACAGCGGGGAAACAATTACAAAAGAGAGAGACTCCCTTTGGCTGGGTGTGTGTTCAAGTACAGGAAGGACAGCCAAGTCTTAATTTGGAGGAAGTAAAATGGCCCAGGGGAGTGCTCTCCAGATTTACGATTGAGATTTATTTTGCATCTCAATCTCTACTAAAAAAAAATGGCACTGGATATAACTACCAATTTCAGCTGCAGCTATCAAATCTGTCCATGGCAGCCACTGAATTGCATAGAATTACTGAGCATATGGGATATAGGATAGCACACTAGCAACTGTACAAAACACAAGCTCATGGTTGCAACAACTGATGAAAAACTGCCTTGCATTTCACATTCCCATTGGAACATGTACAGATCTCTGCTAGATCAGGACAAACACCCACTTTATAAAAGGACACGAACCAAACACAACATAATTTTTTGCTCTCCTCCAGCTTTCTCCAACTAGATATGTCTAAGAAGCAAATAAGCTGACAGAAAAAACAGCATCCTTTCCATCTGGAATGGGGAAGTTAAGATGCTATCCCCT